GCAGGGGACCCCAAGAACATGCATGATTCCTGATCCGCGGCAACGGGAACGTCCACACCTTCTTAGAAGAAAGCTGATCATCTTCGTCTGGAGAAGGCCTGTGTGTGTGAATATGTGTGAATGTGTGTGTGCACAAGAGCTCTCAATAAATGTTACATGAATAGTGTTAAAACCAAATTTGGTCTCTAAAGTGTCCCATTGGTCTAAACTGCCTTACTATTCCTTGAACACTCTGCACAAAAGAACAAGAACCTCTTTGGGTACATAACAATACAATTAAAACATTCAGATAATATAAAACCATAGCAGAGTCAATAAAAGCATATATCATTAGGGTCTCCTTGTTAAAACGTTGACCAGTCACATTGTCCAACCATTCCATTTTCCTATGTCTGTTACACTGTGTTTGCAAACACAGTGTAACAGACACAAAAAGCCAAGTCTTAACTCTTTTTCCAGAATGTTAAAAGGGAGGGGGCCAATCTGATATCCTTAGGGAGGGCATTCCATAGCCAAGGGGCCACCATGAGAAGGCCCTGTCTCTCGTCTCCGCCAGCTGTACTTGTGACAAAGACGCTGAAAAGAGTGGGCTGAAAAGATTGGGATAAAATGTTATAAATAATAAATAACAAATAAATATAATCTCGACTTCTGTTCTGATTCACTGTGAAAAACGTCTTAATGGAATCTGTCATCATGATGAAGGAAATAAGAAGAAAACAGAAGAAAACAAAAAGGAATTTCTGCCAATTGTAGAAACCATTGTCTTTTGTGGCTTTGAGAAATAGCAATGAATCAGGACCTGTTACCTATGAAGAATCTTTGCACAGTCATGGTAATTTTAGGGTCTTGTTGAGATCTTGGGCCAGATCAACACTAGCCTGAGGTGGGGGGCAGGAGGAGAGTTTCAGCCCGGTAGATGCAGGGAATGCCGTGGATGTAGCGTACCTGGATTTCAGGAAGGCCTTCGACAAGGTCCCCCACAACCTTCTGGCAAACAAACTAGTCCAATGTGGGCTAGGCAAAACTACAGTGAGGTGGATCTGTAATTGGTTAAATGGACGAACCCAGAGGGTGCTCACCAATGCTTCCTCTTCATCCTGGAAAGAAGTGACAAGTGGAGTGCCGCAGGGCTCCGTCCTGGGCCCGGTCCTGTTCAACATCTTTAGTAATGACTTAGATGAAGGGTTAGAAGGCATGATCATCAAGTTTGAAGACGACACCAAATTGGGAGGGATAGCAAATACTCCAGAGGACAGGAGCAGAATTCAAAACGATCTTAACAGATTAGAGAGATGGGCCAAAACTAACAAAATGAAGTTCAACAGTGACAAATGCAAGATACTCCACTTAGGCAGAAAAAATGAAATGCAAAGATACAGAATGGGGGAAGCGTGGTTCGAGAGCAGTTCGTGTGAAAAAGATCTGTGTGAAAAAGTTCGTGTGAAAAAGAGTCCTTGTGGACAACAAGTTAAACACGACCCAACAATGTGATGCGGCGGCAAAAAAAGCCAATGGGATTTTGGCCTGCATCAATAGGAGTCTAGTGTCTAGATCCAGGGAAGTCATGCTACTCCTCTATTCTGCCTTGGTTAGACCACCCCTGGAATATTGTGTCCAATTCTGAGCAACACAATTTAAGAGAGAGATTGACAAGCTGGAATGTGTCCAGAGGAGGGCGACTAAGGTGATCGTATGATAGCTGGGTCCAGAAGCTCCGAGCCTTACGCACAGTCCAAAAGGGTGGTTGTGAATAATTGAAGGGGAGAGCAGTACACCGAGGATAGGAATATACTTCGTAGTTGCAGTTGGTGGAAGGATAGAAAGGAAGGGTGGGTAACGATAAGGTTTAGGGTAAAGGTTAGGATTAGGGTTAAGGGTTGGTAAGGTTTAGGGTTAGGGTTAGGGTTTGGGTAAGGTTTAGGGTAAGGGTTAGGGTTTTACCATGAAAGAACTCTTACATTCCTTCTACTGTATAATATCTGTGTTCTGTTCTGCAAAGTCCCGAAGGAGCGAAGTGGAAACAGCATAATGCTCAGAGATTACGGACCCAGCTTTCATACTATTAGCTCAACTAAAATGATCAATGGTCTGGAGAACAAGCCCTTTGAGGAGCGGTTTGAAGAGTTGAGCATGTTTAGCCTGAAAAAGAGAAGGCTGAGAGGAGACATGATGTTGTTGATTTGTTCAGTCGTTTCCGACTCTTCGTGACTTCATGGACCAGTCCACGCCAGAGCTCCCTGTCGGTCATTATATGCTAATCAAGGTGGTCAGTTGAAACATTCACACCTAGCTCCAGAAGACAAGAGTCCTTTGTCCCACCCTGGTCATTCCACAGATATATAAACCCATTTTCCTATTTCCAACAGACCTCACTACCTCTGAGGATGCTTGCCATAGATGCAGGCAAAACGTCAGGAGAAATGCCTCTAGAACATGGCCCTATAGCCCGAAAAAACCTACAAGAACCTAGTGATTCCAGCCATGAAAGCCTTCGACAATACATATTTGTATTACTATTCATAACAGCAAGAAAATGACAGTTATGAAGTAGCAACTAAAATAATTTTATGGTTGGGGGTCACCATAACACGAGGAAGCGTATTAAGGGATCGTGGCATGAGGAAGGTTGAGAACCAATGTTTTAAACAGAGGCTGGATGGCCATCTGTCAGGGGTGCTTTGAATGCAGTTTTCCTGCTTCTTGGCAGGGGGTTGGACTGGATGGCCCATGAGGTCTCTTCCAACTCTATGATTCTATGATTTCTGGTTGCACTCCTCATTACTCCTCTTCTGCTCTTTACTTTAGGAGGAAAGGCGCTTCCCAACACCTCCAATTTTTTTTTTCTGGGAAGTAAAGGTTTCAAGCCATTGCCCCAAAAGTCTAATTCAGAGAATGCGCTCCTGAAAAAGATCTTGGAGTCCTTGTCAACAAGTTAAACATGAGCCAACAATGTGATGTGGCGGGAAAAAAAGCCAATGGGATTTTGGCCTGCATCAATAGGAGCATGGTGTCTAGATCTAGGGAAGTAATGCTACCCCTCTATTCTGCCTTGGTTAGACCACACCTGGAATATTGTGTCCAATTCTGGGCACCACAATTCAAGAGAGATATTGAGAAGCTGGAATGTGTCTAGAGGAGGGCGACTAAAATGATCAAGGGTCTGGAGAACAAGCCCTATGAGGAGCGGCTTAAGGAGCTGGGCATGTTTAGCCTGAAGAAGAGAAGGCTGAGAGGAGATATGATAGCCATGTATAAATATGTGAGAGGAAGCCACAGGGAGGAGGGAGCAAGCTTGTTTTCTGCTTCCCTGGAGACTAGGACGAGAACAATGGCTTCAAACTACAAGAGAGGAGATTCCATCTGAACATGAGGAAGAACTTCCTGACTATGAGAGCCATTCAGCAGTGGAACTCTCTGCCCTGGAGTGTGTGGAGGCTCCTTCTTTGGAAGCTTTTAAACAGAGGCTGGATGGCCATCTGTCAGGGCTGCTTTGAATGCAATATTCCTATTTAAACTAAATATAGCGAAATTCTGGTTTTTTTTTCTTGAAGTGACACACCACCTGAATTATGCTCGGTTTTCTGGCAAATTTTGACACACCATGCTCAAAAGGTTGCCCATCACTGCTCTAGACCATGGCAATATAGCCCGAAAAAACCTACAACAACCCAGAGGCTTGATGGCCATCTGTTGGGTTTCGTTTTTTTTTTGTCGTGTCAGGAGCAACCGCTCCTGTTGTGAGAGAATTGGCCGTCTGCAAGGACGTTGCCCAGGGGACGCCTGGATGATTTTTGATGTTTTATCATCCTTGTGGGAGGCTTCTCTCATGTCCCCGCATGAGGAGCTGGAGCTAATAGAGGGAGCTCATCCACCTCTCCCCGGATTCGAACCTGCGACCTGTCGGTCTTCAGTCCTGCCGGCACAAGGGTTTAACCCACTGCGCCAGAGTGTGGTGGAGGCTCCTTCCTTGGAAGCTTTTAAACAGAGGCTGGATGGCCACCTGTCAGGGGTGATTTGAATGCAATATTCCTGCTTCTTGGCAGGGGGTTGGCCTGGATGTCCTATGAGGTCTCTTCCAACTCTATGATTCCATGTGAGAGCTGTTCAGCAGTGGAACTCTCTGCCCCAGAGTGTGATGGAGGCTCCTTCTTTGGAAGCTTTTAAACAGAGGCTGGATGGCCATCTGTCAGGGGTGATTTGAATGCAATATTCCTGCTTCTTGGCAGGGGGTTGGACTGGATGGCCCATGAGGTCTCTTCCAACTCTATGATTCCATGTGAGAGCTGTTCAGCAGTGGAACTCTCTGCCCCGGAGTGTGGTGGAGGCTCCTTCTTTGGAAGCTTTTAAACAGAGGCTGGATGGCTCATCTGTCAGGGGTGATTTGAATGCGATATTCCTGCTTCTTGGCAGGGGGTTGGACTGGATGGCCCATGAGGTCTCTTCCAACTCTATGATTCTACTGTGAGAGCTGTTCAGCAGTGGAACTCCTGCCCCAGAGTGTGGTGGAGGCTCCTTCTTTGGAAGCTTTTAAACAGAGGCTGGATGGCCATCTGTCAGGGGTGATTTGAATGCAATATTCCTGCTTCTTGGCAGGGGGTTGGACTGGATGGCCCATGAGGCCTCTTCCAACTCTTTGATTCTATGATTTTAGGGGGAAAGGCGCTTCCCAACACCTCCATTTTTTTTCTTTTGGGAAGTAAAGGTTTCAAGCCATTGCTCCAAAAGTCTAATTCAGAGAATGTGCTCCTTCTCCCAAGTTGCAAGAGCAGCAACCACGTCTGAATGCAGCGGGGCGTGGAGCCACTTTTTCAGGAACTGCTTCCTGATGCGTAAAGGGTGTATGTGCGGTTCACGTAACACACACCCTCGTTTGCAGGCTTTTCAGGTAGTGGCTCGTGAGAGAAGAAAAAGTTGGGGCCAGGCAACGCGTTCGGGAGGCGTTTGTTCCTCGGCGGCACCCTTAGTTGGGGAGGGCGCGCGGCGCTTGTTTTGGTGAGAGAAAGAGAGAGGAGGGCCTCGCGCCGGCGGAGGGAGCCATGTGAGGAAGGGAAACGGAGGAGCAGGAGGAAGAGGAGGCGCCATGGCCTCGGTGAAGGTGGCCGTCAGGGTCCGGCCCATCAACCGCAGGTGAGAGAGAGAGAGGGAGAGAGGGAGGGAAAGGAGGAGGGAAGAGGAAGCAAGCAAGCAAGCAAGCGCCTGCCTGCCTCAAACCTCCTCCTGTGGCCCATGTTATCCACTGGGAGTTGGTTCCAGGATATCCAAACCCGCGGATGTTCAAGCTCCATTGTATTCAACCGCATAGTCCAGCTGTAGGCAAACTTCGGCCCTCCAGTTGGTTTGGACTTCAACTCCCACAATTCCTAACAGCTTATAGGCTGTTAGGAATTGTGGGAATTACAACAGCAAAACAACAGAGGGGAGACAAACAGGCACATAAAATCACTCTCAACAAAAGATTCCCCCCAGGCACTTCCAAGCCATTGAATGCTAATCAAGGTGATCAGCTGAAACATTCACACCTAGCCCCAGCAGACAAAAGTCCTTTGTCTCACCCTGGTCTTTCCACAGATATATAAACCCATTTTCCTACTTCCAACAGACCTCACTACCTCTGAGGATGCTTGCCATAGATGCAGGCGAAACGTCAGGAGAAAATGCCTCTAGAACATGGCCATATAGCCCGGAAAAACCTACAACAACCCAATGATTCCACACAATATTTACATGCCACCCTTCTCACCCCGAAGGGGACTCGGAGCGGCTTACAAGTAAAAAGTAAATAAATATATTATATTATTACCATAGCACAATATTAATATTATATATTACTGGGTTGTTGTAGGTTTTTTCAGGCTATATGGCCATGTTCTGGAGGCAATTTTTCTCCTGACGTTTCGCCTGCATCTATGGCAAGCATCCTCAGAGGTAGTGAGGTCTGTTGGAAGTAGGAAAAATGGGTTTATATATCTGTGGAATGACCAGGGTGGGACAAAGGACTTTTGTCTGCTGGGGCTAGGTGTGAATGTTTCAGCTGATCACCTTGATTAGCATTCAATGGCTTGGAAGTGCCTGGGGGGAATCTTTTGTTGAGAGTGATTTTATGTGCCTGTTTGTTTCCCCTCTGTTGTTTTGCTGTTTTAATTTTTAATTAAATTTTATTTCGAAAAGATAATACACCAACCATATATGTTGCAAAAATGTACACATACACAAACAAACACACATACACAAACAACCCTCCATACAGTTACCCCTCCACCCACCCCCAGTGCTACCCACCACCTTGACTTCCGTCACTAATCCACGCAGGATTTATGCACAACTTATTTAACCCTCTATACTTCTAATTCAATAAATTCCTCTTGTTTTTATTTCTTTAGCTCTCCCGTCAAGTATGCTAAGGCCAGCTTTTCTTTCAAATATTTCATTATTTTCATATTTCAAATTGCTTGAAATCTTAGCCATCTGTGCATAATCCCACAATTTATCCTTCCAATCTTTGATGCTTCATGTTTTCTCCCCTTTCCAATTTTTTGCTGTTGTGATTTTTGAGTCCTTTAATAGTGGTAGCCAGATTTTGTTCATTTTCATGGTTTCCTCCTTTCTGTTAAAATTGTCCACATGCTTGTGGATTTCAATGGCTTCTCTGTGTAGTCTGACATGGTGGTTGTGAGAGTGGTCCAGCATTTCTGTGTTCTCAAATAATATGCTGTGTCCAGGTTGGTTCATCGTGTGCTCTGCTATGGCTGACTTCTCTGGTTGAAGTAGTCTGCAGTGCCTTTCATGTTCCTTGATTCATGTTTGGGCCTCTTGTCATTTAGAAAAAAATTGAAAACTTGGATGTGGGACCAGGCATTTGGACGTTCTGGCAGCTAGAGGAAGGACCTTGATGATGGACAGGAATTGACTGAACGGAATGGATTTATGGAACTCTGAACACTGAGCATGAGATTAGTTTACTGATTGTGTTATGTACTGATGATTTTAACCTGTTAATTGTTTAATTGCTGTTTTGTATGTATGTATATTTGACATAGGCACATCAACCGCAGGTGAGAGAGAGAGGGAAAGGAGGAGGGAAGAGAAAGCAAGCAAGCAAGGAAGCGCCTGCCTGCCTCAAACCTCCTGTGGCCCATGTTATCCACTGGGAGTTGGTTCCAGGATACCCAAACCCGTGGATGTTCAAGCCCCATTGTATTCAACAGCATAGCCCAGGTGTAGGCAAACAGCTGGTAGGCTGTTAGGAATTGTGGGAGTTGAAGTCCAACCCTCCTGGTGGGCCGAAGTTTGCCTATGCCTGGCATAGTCGAAGGGCGCTACTTTTTTAGTGTTTTTGAACAGATATGCTTTTAATACTTATTGTCGAAGGCTTTCATGGCCGGAATCACTGGGTTGTTGTATGTTTTTTCGGGCTATATGGCCATGGTCTAGAGCCGTGATGGTGAACCTATGACATGCATGTCAGCACCGACACACTTCACCATTTTTTTCCCTCTGTCGATATCTTTTATTATCTATCTATCTATAAATGCTCTGTGCATAATGAGTACCTTAAAAACAAAAGAACCAATGAACGAAATCACACCAAATTTGGCAACAAAACGTCTCACAACACAAGGAGTGACCATCACTCAAAAAATTATGATTTTGTAATTTGGGAGTTGTAGTTGCTGGGATTTATATTCCGAGCCCAATTTAAGGTGCAGGTGTTTACCTACAAAGCCCTGAACGGTTTGGGACCAGCCTACCTGCGTGACCGCATTTCCATCTACGAACCCACGCGTTCACTTCGGTCATCTGGAGAGGCCCTGCTCGTGATCCCACCGGCGTCGCAAGCGTGCTTGGTGGGGACGCAGGACAGGGCCTTTTCCGTGGTGGCCCCCCAACTCTGGAACACCCTCCCCAAAGACCTTAGACAGGCCCCTTCATTGGCTGTCTTCAGAAAGAACTTGAAGACCTGGCTTTTCCGATGCGCCTTCCCAGATTAGGAAATCTCCACTACCAAGTCCCATAAGCACTTTATCAGAACCAATGATTGCTGCACATCGCACTTGCCCTAGAAGCCCTTTATACACCTCCTGTCACATCAGCACTTTTAATCCTTGTACCCACCTTCTGGCCCGGCCCAGTTTTATTGTGTTTTAGTGTATTGTGCCTGTTGTTTACTTTGCTTTATTCTGTTTTTAATTGTTTGATTTGCTTAGATTGTACTGTTTTGTGTTGTTGAGGCCTCGGCCTGTGTAAGCCGCATCGAATCCTTCAGGAGATGCTAGCGGGGTACAAATAAAGTTTAATAATAATAATAATAATAATAATAATAATAATAATAGACATTTGGGAATTGTAGCCGTCCCCATGTGGACCACAGTGAACCAAACATGGCATACAGGACTTCCATGACCAACAGAAAACACTTGAGTTTGGGAGTTGTAGTTCACCTACATCCAGAGAGCACTGTGGACTCAAACAATGATGGATCTGGACCAAACTTAGCACAAGCACTCAATACAACCAAATATGAGCACAGATGGAGTTTGGGGGAAACTGACCTTGACATTTGGGAGTTGAAATCACTGGGATTCACAGTTCACCTACAATTAAAGAGCATTCTGAACCCCACGAACGACAGAATTGGAACAAACTTCCCACACAGAATACCCACAACCAACAGAAAATACTTAAGGCCATCCAATCCAACTCCCTTCATCAGGGCAAGAAAACATAAAGTCCTCCTGACAAAGAGCCATCATGCCATCGATATAGATAGATAGATATGATTCACACACACAGAGAGAGATATAGTATTATAGATTTGAAAGGGACCCTTAAAGAAGCACAATGACATGTTGCCTGTTCCAGAGTAGGCAAACCAGACACTCTCCACATCAACACTGACAAAGAAAAAGCAAGGAATACTGTTTACCCACAAGCATAAAGGAATTACATCTTTTAGAAACCAACACTTTCTCATTACTTTATTTTCCAGATCAACAGACTGGGCCACAGCAACGCGTGGCAGGGAACAGCTAGTTATTATTATTATTATTATTTTCCGACACAAAAATAGTACCATCACATACGATCATTGTTAGAAATTCAGTTGCTAAATTACATTATGAATACATATCACATATCACATACCACTGGAGAAATTACACTGCTTAGCTGGTATTGCACCACCTGACATCCGCCGGGAAGTAGCAGCCAATAGTGAAAGGACCAAGGCAGAGACATCTCCAGCTCATCCCCTGTTTGGGTATCAGCCAGCGCGTCAACGACTTAAATCTAGAAATAGTTTTCTAAGATCTACAGAGACACTCGCTGGAACACCTCAGCAAGCGAGAGTCCAAAAGTGGCAGGCTCAAACCCAGAACCTCAACCAATGGCTGATACCAAATGAGAGACTCCCCCCTAGGCACACAGAAAACTGGGCGACTTGGAAGGGCCCTGAACAGACTGCGCTCTGGCCCCACGAGATGCAGAGCCAACCTTCAGAAATGGGGCTACAAAGTGGAATCCTCGACATGCGAGTGTGGAAGAGCAAACCACTGACCACCTGCTGCAATGCAACCTGAGCCCTGCCACATGCACAATGGAGGACCTTCTTGCAGCAACACCAGAAGCACTCCAAGTGGCCAGATACTGGTCAAAGGACATTTAATCAACTACCAAACTCACAAATTTTGTATTTTGTCTGTTTGTTTGCTTTGTTCTGTTAGAAATGTAATATAATTTGACTGGTTGTCCTGACACGACAATGAATAGCAAGTTTTAACAAATGTTTGCCTGCAAGTAGACAGGTAGCTGAACCCCTTGCTCTCCAGTTATCATCCTGAACTCAGTTTGGCATTAAAAGAGTGAGTGGTGGTCATCGCTTCATCCTGGTTTTTGTGTCTCACACAAATGAGGCTGGATCGACACTGCCCTATAATACAGTATCTGATCCCTGATTATCTTCTTTGAAATGGATTATATGTCTCCATGGCCATATAATCCTGTTCAAAACAGATAATCAGGGATCAGACACTGGATTATAGGGCAGGGTAGACCCAGCCTGAGTGATCTGCCCCATGACAGCACTCGGCTCACCTGAATCAACCAAACCCTTACACAGATATGCAGTTCTG